AGCAGCGCTCTGCCTTCGCCTCTCTTCCCAGACTCTTGTCAAGTCCGTGTCAACACAACCGTGCTGCGGCATGGGGACTGCGTGACCAACGGTGCAATCAACATCACTTTCTGCGAGGGCTCCTGTCCCGGAGTGTCCAAGTGAGTGGACTCCTTTCCCTCCCTGCGAGTGTGTGTCTGTTATCGGCCCTCCCACTGGGCAGGGCCTGTACCCACTGCCAGTCCCCTGGTGTCCCACGGGGCCCGTTGCTGGGAAGCGCCCTGCTCTGGGTCAGGAGTTTCCACGCCTGCTACAAGAAGGAGGGAAGGGGCTCCCAGCCCGCCCATCTGGAGCTGCTCTCCCACCAGGCCTAGGTGAGGTGGGTTGACACAGGGGACAGAAGAGCACTCTGGCTGCTGTGTCTCTTGGTCCTATGTCCAAGGGTCTGTGGGGCACTGTCTGCCTGGGGGGGGCAGGCAGGGTCAGAGCCTTCTGTGGGCCCCCAGACGGCTCCAGCTGTGAGCAGATGTGGTGGGAGAGGCAGGAGGAAGGTCAAGGCTGGCTCGCGGGCCTGGGACAGATGCTCCAGGGTCTGCCCAGGGTCAGCAAGGTCCAGGGAAGAGAACCACAGAAGGGCCTGGAAGGTAAAGTAGTTTCAAAGTGACTCCAAGAACCCCGAAAGCAAGCACAGGCCCACTGTGGACAGGAGAGGCAGCTGTCCTGAAACCCTATGGCTGAAAGAGCCCCCTGGGTCCTAATGTGGCAGGTCCTGAGGGCAGCCCCTATGTGCAGGTACTCAGAGGAGGCTCAGACCTTGCAACACGAGTGCACCTGCTGCCAGGAGAGGCGGGCCCACGGGGAGGCGGTGAGCATGCGGTGTCCTGACGGCACAGCCATCGTGCACACCTACACCCACGTGGACGAGTGTGGCTGCGCGCCGTCCTGCCTTCCCTTGCCTATGGCTCCCACGGACACCCTAGACACTCCATCTTAGGGCTCTGACCCTGCTCCCATGTTGCTCCTGGAGCCAGGACATGCATTGCCTGGCCATGAAAACCTTAGTTTTCACACTCCGTGGAGTCCACAAAAACCTTCTGTGACTCCCACTGCCTCTGCCCCACCTTTGGCCTTCGGCACCCTGGAGGGTGAAGGGCCAGCAAGGATCCACTTGAAGAGGGCATCAGGCGGGGGTCTGGCTCTCAGAGAACCTCTGGCCTGTCTGGGCCACCTGCCCTGCCTTCAGGCCTCACCCCCTCATCCAAACAGCTGCCACTCCAATCCAGCCTTCTGGGGTGTCATCGGGATGCCCTGGAGTGATGTGCTGCTCTCCAAAGTGGCCATGCCCATGCACTCCACACAGCAAAGCCCCATGGAGCGCAGACTGCTGACCACACCTCCCGTGGTGGCCAAAGGGCAGATAGGCCTGTCCAGGCAAGGCCAGCCACCACCACACAGCCGTGTCCGGCAAGGTGGAAGCCTGCCCATGTCTGGGCCAGGTGACCTGTGGCAGTGGTACCTGGGGACTGAGGCCACAATGACCAAGGGAGGGGTTAGCACCCAAAGCACCCCCTCTGCTCACCCAGGCCCAGTTTTGCAAATAAATCCTGAGCATTGTGTATGTTTCTGGTCCTGACCTTTTCCTGCCATCCGTGTCCCTGGGTGCGCCCATTCCTCTGTGGGCCACTGCTAGGGGCCCACAGGCTACACAGCATCCTAGGGGATGGTACTGGGCCCGTCAGGATATGAGGGGCCAGACAGTGGCTGGAGGGTCAGGTGCTGGGGTCAAAGAGCTGCTTGGCATCCACAGGCCCCTGTGGAGACCGCATTCAGTTTCCGACTGGGGTGCGTTGGCCAGAGGCTTTGTAAGGATGCAGGAATCACTCCAGATATTATTTTAAACACAAGACCATGCCACTCAGACCTGAGGGGACTGCAGCTGGGGCTGGGGCCGCTAAAGGACTTCTTTCTACCCCCTCGTCCACCCATGCGTCCCCCAGGCCACATCACAAATCAGCTTGCTGGATATTCAGTGTTCTTTTTGATCTTACCTACAAGGGCAGGATTTCTTTCTTTTTTTCCTATTGCTCTGTCCAGAACCAAGAATACCCAGGTCACACGTGGGTCAGAGGAGCCAGCAAAATAAGGGGACCCTGCAGCTGAGGTTGCTAGTGTGGGGCATGGCAGGCAGTCCATCCACCAAACGGCCTCTACACCACCAGAGCTGCAACCTGCAAAAGGAGCTTTATGGGGGTGAGGCTCCTCTGGCCCTTTCCCATGCCACAGGCCTGGCCTCTGCCCCACCCAAAGAGTGGCAGCAGTCACAGAGCTGCTCCTCCCCATCAGCTACCTGGGAGTCCCCAGCTCCTGGTAGAACTCAGGCCTGGCAGAGCACCTTGGAACTGAGTGGAGGTGGTCCAGGACTGGTGAGATTTTCTATGCAAAATGCTACCCTGAGGTTACCTCTCTGAGTTTACCTGCACCTCAGAGTCTGATTCCCAGGGCTGTGACTGAGCCACTCCCCCACTTGGGTCTTCATTAATCCTCCTGGATCTCAGTTGTTCTCACAGTACAAGTGTCCTTAGGTCCATTCACCCAGGTGTGTGGAGGACAAGCATCCCTTGCCAGAGACCTGCTTCACATGTGTGAAATGTTCTCCATGTGCCAGTGCCTCAGTTCATTAAATCCTGAGAACAGCTCTGAGCACTTTCCTGATGAGAAAACTGAGGCATGAAGAGATGGGAACACCTGCTTCAGGAAGGGGAAAGCTGGGCCCAGCCCAGGCAGTCTGTCAGGTCCCTAGAGGAAATAACTACAGAAATAAACACAATGCATAAAAACAAAACACTGCTATTTACACTTTAAAATTTTAAAAAATATTTCTGGCTTCCAGATGGAAAAGTGGGCATGTCTTCTCCAATAGACACAAAAAAATGACAATGACAGAAAGTAACTTTGAATAATAGCAATTGAAAATAAGAACATCAATCATCTGTTACATGGACAGATACTCTGAATAAAAAAGGAGATATTTGGGAAATTCCAACAGTGAAAGGATGGCCATGGGGCTGCCCTACCAGGAGGCCCAGAAGACTTTTCTCATAGAAAATGGGCATTTAGTCCCAAGTGAACAAATTTCCCAAATAAGCCAATATCATCAAAGAAAACAAAAGTTCAGTAAAGAAAGGATAAAAAGACCATGCATCCAAGTGAACAGGTATATTGGGATGATTTCTTTTCTAAAGATTTAAGTGTGTGTGTCGGGGACCAGCAGTTAGCATAAAAGCTATGTCGCTGGACTCCCATGTAGTTGACCACAGTTTGAGTCCTGGACCTGGTGGCTTAAACTCACGCCGGGCACGTGTGCGTGCGTGCCTAAGATCCCGAGAGGAGAATGGAGGAGAAGGGATTGCGGTGTGGTCATCCACCCTGGGGGGTGATTTCTTGCTTTCTGTCTCTCTCTGTTTCTGGTGAGCACACACGCCCTATAGCAAAAACCTCTCTTAAATAAAAAAAGATTTAAGTGTGTGGAGGACAGAAATAAAGGTTTTATTTTCCTAATGATCTCTAGAAGGAAAGAAGAGAGAGCAAAAGAGGAGCAATTGCGGTGTGGCCATCCACCCTGGGGGGGTGATTTCTTGCTTTCTGTCTCTCTGTGTTTCTGGTGAGCACACACACCCTATAGCAAAAACCTCTCTTAAATAAAAAAAGATTTAAGTGTGTGGAGGACAGAAATAAAGGTTTTATTTTCCTAATGATCTCTAGAAGGAAAGAAGAGAGAGCAAAAGAGGAGCAATGTTCTAATAGTTTATGGTAATAATCTTTCAGAAATGAGAACATTACTTCTTAGGTTGAAAGTACCAATGTGTGTCAAGAGAGATGAAGAAAAAAATTAATTGATTTCTAGATACTAAGTAATGAAATTTTGTAATCAAGGTGAAGAGAAAGTCTCAAAGCTGCCAGAAAGACAAAGAAGTTCATGTGCAAAGGAATAAGCATCAGATTGTCACTTCTTATCAGGAACACTGGATGCAAGGAGATTGTGGCACAAAATTACCAAAGCACTGAACACTTAATTCTATACCCAACTAAACTGTCATTTAAGTGCAAGAAAGAAGAGATATTTCAGCATACAAGGATTCAAAAGGTTAACTCCCACAGATCCTCTGTGAACATGCTACTATAGGAGTACAAGGGGACCTCAATAAAATCAATGGACAATTTGAATTAAAATACAAATCTATTCGGGTACATAGGTTTTTTTATAACATGCATTTTCCATGTCTTTCATCTTTTTGAAGACCCTCACATGTAAATTTCAACAAAGTAAATTGTAGCTGAATGCACAGCATGAAAACAACAACGGTGAGCAGAGGAATTAGTAACACAACATGTTATATATACCCAAATAAATATTCACTTCACAGAAACCAACAGATCAAATACAGAAGTTCATAGTTTTCTTTCTTTCTCTTTCTTTCTTTCTTTCTTTCTTTCTTTCTTTTTTATTTTTTTTCAGGAAGGAAGAAAAGTTTATATTTCCATTAAAAAAAAACCAAACAAGAAAAATATTTTAACAAATTGCTGACCCTATCAACAACTCAAAAGAAAGTAAAATGTTAAAATTGGGAAAACAAAGCATAGTAAAAAAAAAATCAGTAAAGTTTTACTCAAAAGTACTAAAATTCTATTTCGCTAGTTCAGTTTTATGTTCAAACTCTCTTCAGTTGAATATGCAGAGTTACTGTGGGCCAATCTTTTCATTTAAATCCTGTGCAGTTCCAATCTGGAACCTAGTAACCTGAAAATCATGTCATGTGTGTACATACCCAAAATCGTTCAATGTCGTTATTGATACTTCTTGTCCCTAGCGTTAAATTAGTTTTCTTGGTTGCCTTTTGTTCTCTTATTTCTGTATGTGTCTTTAGTTTTCCTGGTTGAGCACTCCTTTCAGAACTTTTTGAAGAGTGAGTCTGCTACGGGCAAATTCTTTCAGGTCTTGTTTATCTCAGAATGTTTTTATCCTTTCTTTCAATATGAAGGATAATCTTGCTGGGTATAGTATTCTTGGTTGAAACTGTTTTTCACTGAACACTTTGAATATATGTTCCCATTCTTTCCTTGCTCACATTGTTTTTGATGAGAGATCTGAGGTTAGCCTGATTGGATAACGTTTATAAGCAACCTGACGCTTCTCTCTTGCTGATTTTAGTATCTTGTCTTTGTAGAAGTTCATTGTGCTTCTTGGCCTTTTTTTTTTTTTTTCTATAGGGCACATACACTCACTGGAGAGAGACAAGGAAAGTGAAAAATCACTGCCTCCCCCCACCCAGGAGGATGGCCACACTGCAATCCCTTTCTCCTCCATTCTCCCCTCGGGATTTTGGGCATGCATGCACAAGTGCCTGGCATGTTTTTCAAGCTGCCGAGTCTGGGACTTAAATTATGCTGTCAGACATATGGGATCTAGCCACCTTAACCTCCATGCCACCTGGCCCATGCTATTTCTCGGTCTTAAGAACACCTTTTCTGCCCTGGGATCAGAAATACTGTCTTCTGGGTTATCTCCTAAATGCTCTATAATTTGTACTCCACCTTGATTTTTTTTAGGTTTGCTATAGGCAGTGTGTGCTCACTGGAGACACACACACACACACACACACACACAGAGAGAGAGAGAGAGAGAGAGAGAGATCACCCCCTGGGGATGTCACACTGCATCCTTTGCTCCTCCATTATCTTCTCGTGATTTTGAGTATGCACGCACATGGCATGATTTTCAGATTGCCAGGTTCCAGATTTGAACTGCATAGTTAGCCATGTGGAATCCAGCCACCTTAATCTCCAGACCACCTGCTGGCCTGCACCTTGAAATTCTGAATCCACCCAGAACTAGTGTTTGAAAGTGGCATGAAATGGAGGTCTGACTCCATTTTATTTCCTGTGATCAGTCAATTGTCCCTGCACCTGTTCCGGTGCTAGCCTGCCATCAGCATGGTCTCTGTCTCATCCCTGGGCTCTCTGTCTAGTGTCTCAATGTAGACAACAGTCTCTACTCTTGCTCTCTATTTGGTAAGGTCTTCACACTCTGTGGTTCTTTATGAGAGTATCTTAACACACTTAGCCTTTTTTTTCTTTCTTTCTTTTTTTTTTTTTTTTTTTGAGAGGTTTTCG